TAATAAATACAGTATTATTGTTAACAATAAATACAATTAATATTGTATAATAAATAGTGTTGATATGACACGGGAAGAAAAAACAAATAAATAACCTCCTTGAAATCTATTTCATAGACACGTAGAATCACAGAATGGTTTGGGTTGGAGAGGACCTTAGGTTCATCTAGTTCCAACCCTCCTGCCATGGGCAGGGGTGCCTCACACTAGACCATGTCACCCAAGGCTCTGTCCAACCTGGCCTTGAACACTGCCAGGGATGGAGCATTCACAACTATTTTGGGCAACCTGTTCCAGTGCCTCACCACCCTCACAGTAAAAAACTGCTTCCTTATATCTAATCTGAACTTCCCCTGTTTAAGTTTGAACCCATCACGCCTTGTCCTATCACTACCATACCTGATGAAGAGTCCCTCTCCAGCATCCTTGCGGATACATCAGATACTGGAAGGCTGCTATGAGGTCTCCATGCAGCCTTCTGGTCTCCAGAAAGTCCTAACTTTCTTAACCAGTCAGCTTTCAAGGTCCAAGCCTTTATTTTTGACCTCTAAACTAGAATAAATAAGCACTGCTAAGATTTCTCAATAATGAAGTTCAGAGAAAAGACTAAATCATCACTTTGGAACTAGATGATCTTAAGGTCCTTTCCAACCCTAATTATTCTATGATTCTATGAAGTCTGCTCCTTAGTGACACACAGCAAGCAAACACACAGTGCCACACAACAATCATTAAAAATGTGTCATACATTCTTTCCCATCTCTAGAAACTCCAGGATATGCCTTATTTTAATTCGGTTAGTTTAAAGTCACCTGTATCAGCAGAAACCTCAGCAAAGGCTGAACACATTCCTTAGAAACAGGATAAAGGCCTGTTAGTCCATGCTGAGCTGTGGCTAGCTGAGCCTCCACCACCTGACGTAATAGGTTGGAGGGATCTTGGGCAGCTTTGCCCTGCTGAAGTTGTGCTGGTGTGCAACAAGAAACTGCAAACCATTACAGAGAGACATTCCAGGGCTTCCTTTCTCTTCCATTGCATCGTGCTTTCCTGTACTCCTAGTCAGTCAGCTGCTGAGGGAAAAGTGAATACTGGGACTCTCACAAACTGCAGTCTCTAGAAACATAGTATCTACTATTCCAGAACTAGCTAGAGAAGAAAAAGCAATCTCCCTACCACATACACACATGGTATTGATATTTTGACTGGCAAAAGATACATGCTGTGCTTTGTCTGTGATGGATCAAGGCAAAAAGCTCTGTGCTAGGGTAAAAGCAAGCCAACTTCTGTGGTCTGAAAATCTGCTGAATACAGGTGTTACCTACAATGATTTGTTGATTTTTCATCAGTATTTTTTCCATTTTCTCCCTTTTTTCAGTGATTTAATCTCTGTGCATCACATAGACACTAGGTATCGGCAACATTTAATGGGACTTTTAATATCAAGTGAGCAAGTCAATGCATATGTGCAATCGGCAATATGCATTTATCTGACATGTATTTATTCTTTTCAGGTAACTGAAGATTAAACTGTTTGTGTCAAATCAACAACTCTATATTTCCCTTGGAATAAACCTAGCAACAAGGTAAACTTCTCTGTCCAGTTCTCCCAAAATGCCTCCAGCCTGACTGCTGGGAAAGCAGAGGAAACCTTAACAGTTGAACTTGGCCCCCTGTACATCTGCCAAGAAGGGCATCAGCTGCCTTTTCCTAAACTGGCAAAAGGTCATGCTGGACTGACATCACAAGAAGAGGTTTATATTCAGAGCTGATCTAAATCCATATTTTCAGGGAATGACAATTTTTCCACTTAAAACAGACTTCTAAGAACACAATAACTAAATCATGTAAGTCCAGAGCACAACAACAAGGAACACTGCAATGATTTATGAGACCCTCCAGCTCTGTAACAATTTTAATTGGTGAATCTCGAACATTTCCATAAAGTAGTATGAGTGTCTATACTCATTTTACAGGTAAGAAAAAGTCAACTCAGTAAGTCTGTGAGGGAGCGAAAACCCACAAACCTCCTAGTCCAATACTTTATGTGCCAGGAGATTCTGCCTGTGGTGTTATACTGTGTTATTAGCTATGGAGAGTCACGCTGTCATTCCATGAGAATGCAAAATGTAGGTTACCAAACTAGATGAAGACTAAACAGGAATCTGTTCTCTGCATCAGAACAATGGACTAGAAATTGTCTAGTTTTGGTATTTGCAATCTTATTTTGTAGCACGTGGCAAATCACACAGGGCAGCTGGATTCCCAACTGATTGCTCTAGCTGCAAGTCCCCAGTCATACATTATTTCTTAAACAAAGGTTTATATAAGAGCTATCACACATAAGCAGCTTCTCCTTAGAGTGAATAATTAAAAGTTCTTACCTATGAAGGGCAAGTCCAAGTCACATATTTCAAATACTAGTCACTAACATGGAGGTAGAATTACCTTTTTTATGAACAAACAAAAATTGCCACCAACCTCCCGCTCCCCTTTTCTGAAAAAAAAAAAAAAAAAAAAGAAAACACAAAACAAAACCAAAAACCCTTGAACAAAATACCGTTAGCAGTTTGAAATACGCAGTATTGCTCCTTACCTGCTGAAAGTCTCCAGTAGAAAAGCTAATAATAACTGTTGGAATCACCATGAAACAAGCATTATAGAAAAGGACACCATATTTCCCCAACTCCTGTGGAAAATGAAACATGGTGTTTGTAATTACAAGCTAATTGGGAACAAAATACTAAATATTACTCTGGCAATCTACTGTTAATCAGCAGACAAAACATGGTACATTTCAATTTAAAATACAAGCTTGTGACCCTTGGATTCAGTGTTTAGTACTGAGCTGTTTCCATTTCAGTCACTTTGTCTGTATGCTCAGGAGAGTATTACTGCTCTGCTGTACGTTGGACAGTTTCTATACAATACTAGCTAGTCAGAAACTTCCCAAGGCACTGGTCCAGAACTGCTTTGTATTAGACTCCCTGTAAGCCTCTGCGTGGCCAAGGGATTACCCACACCATCTACTGCATATCAAGCATGAAAGCATAGGTCTGGGTGGCTCCCTGAGGCAAGCATAACAAAAATTAATGAAGTCTGACTCCTAGACGGAGCATCCGCAACCACTGGTAACTGATGTACCTTCAAGTAACTTGAGGCATGCCATACATCCTATTGGTTAACTTGCCTGACAAAAGGCAGAAGATTAGGGGAATGAAAAAGCAGCCTTCCTTTCTTCCAGATTCAGCCATGCTACTTAGCAAATCTCTCCAGCTTCTCTCTTGCTTTAAAATGAAACCCTGTATTCTGCAGAAAACTGTGAGGCTGTTAAGTGCTTCTTGCAAAGAAACATGCAGAGACTGGACTCTGCGTGACTCTTGAGATTATTAAAAGGTATATATTTTCACACACTGAACCACAAAAGTCAAGTGACAAAACCTTCATCCAGAATCTCTAGGACTGCTCTTTGCTACGTCTTGACACATTTTAATGGCACTGTATTTGAAGAGTAGCCTGTTCAATGTTTACATAAAGTATAATGTATCAAGGTATCATCTAATTCTTTCAAATAGCTGGGTTTGGTAGACTTGCTATTAGATAGCTAAAAAAGATGGTAGTTTCTGCAGTTATTGACTCAAACTGGACAGGTCTCTGTTCCTACCCGAAAGATTATTTTACATAAACCTCACTAAAAGTGTGTTTCTATTCAAAAAATCATCTTCCTTTGATGTATAGAGCAAGTTTACTGCTGTTCTGAATGCATTTATCAACTGAAGTATGAAAGCAAATTAAACCAATTATTAGTTCCTAACTGTATGTTCATGGTCATATCATAGGCAACCCACTGTAATGGTACTGTCATAATGTTAAACTCAACCTAATCACCCCACAGTTACCTTTGGATCAATTTTCTGCTTTGTGTAAACTCCGTTTGCTGCTGTGAAGATATCATTTAGCAATACGAAGGTGTAACCCTCCAGATTAAAAGACAGATCAGACCTGGGAAAGAAATATTACATTGCAAATAAGCAAACAGTATACAATGCATTGCAATTATTTGTTCACTTAAAAAAATACTGTAAATGAGGAAATGCAAATCCTGACAAATCCAGCAAGTCATAGGTTGTGCTTCGAGCCTTCTTTGTAAGTCAAAGTACTTTACATTTCTTCAGTCACAGGACCATCATAAATGAGTCATCAGAGAGTTCCCAGTACTCAGCATAGAAGTATTAGGAAGTGTTCAGTTTTCATTCTGTGAAAAATTCCACCTGTCTCAATCCTGACAACTTGTCCAATTATTACTGAGCATACTTAGGTATTTCTTCTAACACAAGAAGTAGCTAGGGTAAAACTACTAGTTTTCTTACAGGTAAACCAGATGTATTGTCATCCTTTCTGTTTTGACTAGTCACCTCATGTATATAGAGTAATTCACTTAATAAGACATGGCTCCCATCCGAGTCACATCACATGGAAATTAGAACCTTTGTACACAGCAAAGCCCAGAAATAAAAAATAACTTTACATTTCCAGGTCAGTAAAGGAATATTCAAACAGAAAGAAAACAAATGAGACTGGCATACCAGTGGTTTATGAACTTTATCTAAAAGAAAAAGAAAAAAAAGACATTGCTTAATCCAAATACACTGCTACTAGGAAATAAAAGCAGCATTCTTCGCACAGTTTTAGCTTGCTTCATTTGTGATCCTGTAAACATGGAAAACCTAGAGGGGAAAAAAGAAGTACCCAAGTATTTCCAGCTGCAATTAAATTTTTCCCTTTGTATTCCTGCACCTCCCAGTGATGTCAGTAGAGAGATTTTCCAAACCAACTTAATCCAGAGTAACTGACCTCAATTTAGGTTTACTTGGCACAGAAAAAAATCCTCCTGTTGTCCCTCCTCTCACAACAGGACTTTGTATAACAAATGGAAACCTTACCCAGCTGCTATGAAGGCTCCAAGAATGATGGCAAATACGCTGACTACAATGCTCAGTGGATATCGTTTCCTGTAGACAAAAATTAAGACAGTTCACAGTTTCATTATTTGAAAAAGAGATTAAATGGCTGGCTGCCTGAAAAGTTTCAAAGCAATTAGTAATCAGAGAACATTTAACACAAGGGCGCAGTCATGATAACCTTACAGAAGCAATGTGATTGACCATGAGCCATGCTGTCAGACTTTGGCCCTGAGAACAGAGACTGAAAAAACATTGTGAGCATTCTGCTGCTAGATAATTTCAGAAGTAAAGATTAAAGGTTTAAAGTAACAACCCTGGAACAAACTGTAATTACTGTGTATTTGTATTCATAATGGATGTATTACAGTGTATTTCTGTAATCCAATAATGGAAAATCACTACACATCTCTCATGCAGTTTTTCACCTCACCTTTCTTGGGGAAGATGCTGTACAGCACATTGTCTGGGCTATTTTTCAAATAGATACTTGTTCTGAAATCAAACCGAAACCTTGTACTTGAAGGGGAAAGCATAGGAGCTTATAATATTCTTCACTATGTCTACAGCAGCACTGCCACAGAGTAGGAAAAAGCATAACATAAAACTATTCTGCTTCTTATATCTATATTACTTTACTTAGAAATGTCTTAATACTGCAGTGTGCCTTACAGACATTTGCCTTTGCTAGCCCCAGGTCTGAGCTGGCCTGTGAGAAAAGATCCATCAAAACAAAATGTACAGTGCTCTTGGAGAAATCCTGTGTGTCAAATGAGCATAGCTGAGGACCACTGTCCCAACAACAAAGCTATATGCTGTCTCTAGATATCTTAGGCTTTGATCATAGTGGCTCTTGACAGTAACAACCTAAATCTTGACTGCTTTTCAAATCCTGAGGTAATCCAGCATAGACTTTTTGGAGCTCTTTCATTTTCAGCTCTGAGGAACTACAATGCGGCAGCCTGTAGGAATACAGAATACAGCGTTCTGCTCCTAAACTTCCCTTAGGCTAGGATGTTGCTTGCATTAACACACCACATTGCTGCAGACCAGCTGGGAGCTGATGACAACCTCACTGACTCACATTTTCCTCACTTCCTCTTGAGAGTCCTCAGGCCAACAAGAGAAGACAGCAAGTTCTGCTTTTTCTGTGAGAACTTACAACTAGAAAAGAATCCCAGAGCATCCCCAAATATGCATCACATTGATCAACTGTTGCTTCAGTCAAAAGATGACAGCCTACCTGGAGCATTTGGAAAAGCTTTTCCCCTGATTGTCACTCTCATGGTGCCTGGTTCAGCTTCAGCTGACATATTTATATTCCTGTTCTTCCAAGTCAGTACAACTGAAACTAGTGATCTTAAGCTGCAATATCATATACTTCTTAATTTCTCATTAAAAATAATGTCTGAGTTGTGCTCTGCTTACATGATTCTTGTATAACAGTCAAGAGAATGAGCTGTGGAAATGAAAGCTATTTTTTTTCCCTGTATTCACTGAAATGCATGTATCTATGTCTTCAAAAAAAGCTACATAAATCCACTTTCTTTGCTTTTCTCTATTTGTCAGTAAAAATCAATATTCTGATGAGATGCCACAAGTAATCCATTTTATATGATCTAAAATAAAGGTATCTTAAATAAAAAATAAAAAAAAAAAACAAGGATCACCCAAGTATGATGATTTCCAGCAGTAAAGTAAGTGGAATGGTAAACTTCCTGAGCACAGTAAACATCGGCAAACTGTCAAAAAAAAAAACATAAAAATCCAAGCATAGCATCAGATTAACAGCATGTTTATGTTCTAATTCTTATCTAATTTTACCAATCAGAGGATAAAACCATTAGTCCAGCAATAAGCAACCAAAACAAATTCCCAGCCACTTAGCTTATATAAAAAAATGTCAGTCTGACACTAGAGTCAGATTAGATAACCAAATTATTGACAAATCACAAGATTTGCCAGTTTGTAAAACAATGTAACTGGCTATCTCCTAAAAGGTTCCTCTGCATCAGTGAAATGGAATATAAAAGCTATTTTCTACCTAGCACAGCCCTTATGTCCTGGGCAGAGTAAGTAAAAATTACTTTTGTTGTAAACTTAAAAGGACACACAATAATCCTGTCTCTGAAAACATGTAACAGAAATAAAATACAAAGCAAACGTGCTTAGCAAACAAGCTGTGCTTTCAAAAAAAGTAAAATTAATCCACAAGAAAAAAATCAGAGAAAGTAGGAAAGGTGGGATCAGCTGCAAGCACCAATAAACAGCTATTTTTGAACAACATACTGTTGTTCTACACATAGTCACTGGAAATAATTTGATAAATTCGGGTAAACACTTGCATCTGACACTTTGGAAATCTGACAGCATGGCCATATGGACCAATTAATTCCCTGTTTAAGATAACTTTTAGCAACTGCATTAATAAGCGATACAAATCCTAACACGGACTATAATCACTTTATGACAGGCATTTTGAAGTTATACATAAGATCATCTACACCTTAGAGATAACCCAAACAAGATGAAAAATTCTAAAATGTAAACAAATGTCACATAATATAGCAAAATGTGAATGGTAGAAACACTGCAGCCATTCTCACTTTTCTGTTGTAAAAATTAGTTATGAACAGTAAATCTAAAAGATGTCAGCCACAGGATGTCAGCCACTTATGTTTAAAGTAACCTCCTAACTTTTTCTTTTAAAATACAGTTAGGAAATGGGAAAGAAGAACCCATGATTCCAACTTTTACAGGATTTTTACCCCTTGCAAGAGAACAGGGTAAAATTGAAACAGTTTGCTTATATCTTCCATTTACCGTACCTGAGTTTGCTGGTACTTGATAATCCACTTATGTGGTTTCCAACATAAATCAGAGGCAGAGGAAACAACTGTGATAAAATTAAAAGCACAAGTCAGATTATTACGTTTTAAGCACTGTTAAGAAACTTTAATTGATAGAATTTGATAACTGTATTAATATCAGATGTACCTTCAGCGCGAAAGAGGGGTTTTTAAGGAAAAAAAAAACCCTGTACTGCAAACTGATCTGCAGCTCTTGCTCATGTGACAATTCAAACCCACAGCTTCGCTGTTTCATCAGGAGATTTGCAATCTACCTCTAATGAGACTTAGACTCCACTTAAAAATAAGTTTTAAATGGTTTTATTTGAATTACTTATAATCCTCTGGTTAATACCCATCATAACATTTGAATGTTAGGTATAAAGTAATATTAATAACAGTAGCTAAATCATAGAATCATAGAATAGTTAGGGTTGGCAAGGACCTTAAGATCCTCTAGTTCCACCCCCCCTGCCATGAGCAGGGACACCACCCACTAAACTATGTCGCCCAGGGCTCTGTCCAACCTGGCCTTGAACACCTCCAGGGTTGAAGCATTCACAACTTCCTTGGGCAACCTATTCCAGTGCCTCACCACCCTCACTGTGAAGAACTTCTTCCTTATATCTAACCTAAACTTCCCCTGTTTAAGTTTAAACCCATTACCCCTTGTCCTATCACTAGAGTCCCTAATGAAGAATCCCTCCCCATTATCCTTATAGCCCCCCTTCAGATACTGGAAGGCTGCTATGAGGTCTCCACGCAGCCTTCTCTTCTGCAGGCTGAACAGCCCCAACTTTCTCAGCCTGTCTTCGTAAGGGAGGTGCTCCAGCCCCCTTATCATCCTCTGGGCCCTCCTCTGGACTTGCTGCAGCAGCTCCATGTCCTTTTTATGTTGAGGACACCAGAACTGTACACAATACTCCAGGTGAGGTCTCATGAGAGCAGAGTAGAGGGGTAAATAAGCAAGAGGGCAGGTGAAATAAAAGAATGAATAAACTGTAAGTATGCTGTGCTTCTCTAGGTATTCCACATTAGTATGCCTGGCAGAAACATCATTTCATATCTACCCAGCAGATTATGTTAAGTGAGATAATAGAAAGGAAAAACAAAAGTATTTAGGGTAAATAAAACTTTACCTTTTCCAGCTTCTAGCATAATGAGACTGACTTGCACAGAAACATATGGGCCCTAACACAATACAGAGAAACAGAAAGCGATCTTTAAAGCCTTAAGGAAACGTGCAAGTGAGGCGTCCCTACACAATATTCAGCTGCAGCTCAAAGCTCTAAATTCTCTCACCACAGAAAAGCTGCAGGAGATTAAAACCAACCGAAGTAATCAGTGGGGACAAAGGTGGTGTGTACATCTAATCCCACTCACTATTAGTCAAATGGAGCTGAAACAGGAGAAAGACAAAACGTGTCCTCTATCCTAACGTGTAATAGCTGCTGTTGTTGTGCCTACGCATGCTCCAGGAGACACTCTTTGTTGGAGGCCATGCCCTCTCATACCATTGTGTGCTGGAAAAGCACACAGAGGAGTGGGCTGAATTTTTCTATGTTAACAATTCTGCATTTCTGTTACAGCAAAGAGGAGAGAAAAGTGGAGTAAAAGTTACCTACAGCTAACTAAAGTTAACTTTTAAGTGAAAGTAAACAGGATTATAAACAGGAGTATAAGTAACAATAAATATTCAGCCTGTCAACATAAGTTTGAAAAAAAAATTCTAATGCACTATCTTTTCTACAGATTTTTTAGAAAAAAATGTCTATTTCATTTATAGGATGAAAGCAAACCTGACATTACATTCTTTTTCCTCTGAAATCATCTGTTGTAAAGATAAAATTACAACATCAGAGATCAGTGAAACATTTACTTAGAAAGGGTCAAGCACTCCATAGCTTTGTCACTAAAAAAAGTACTTTGCTAATTTAAAACTCTAGCTGAAAGAACTGAGCGCATAAATCAGTCCTGGAGTGAAAAGCGATGATAATCTTAGTTTCAATGAAAGCAAAAGTTGTCAAAAGGATGAAAAGTCAGTCAGAGGGGGCTTTAGAAAGTAAAGAAATCAACAATGAGTAATCCAGCTGATTCACTGTGATTAGTCAGCACTCCAGCACTACAGGCAATATACAAGTCTACAGTGCTGCAGTGCTGACTGCTCCCAGCATATCCAGGGAAGTCTTGGAAAGAATAGATACTATTAGAACAAGGAAAACAGGTGCTGTATTTTTTTCAGTGTTTTTATGCTAAAGTGAAGGCAACAGCAAAGAAAGAGCATAGAGTAGTGCAACAGGCGGAGGTGGAGGGAAGAAACTTCTCAACATTGTTTATATGCAGAACTCAAAACTACCCACTGGAAAACCTTTTTCTTTCATATTTGGGAATAAATAAGGATTGTCCATTTTATAATTGGCCAACAATTTCAGTATGCATTAAGAATAAAAAGCATTCACAAACGGCTGCAAGACATTCATAGTAAACCTCATACTGATAGTACAAGATTCTGCAATGAAGATGCTGGCCTGAAAAGCTATAATATCTGAGCCCTGCAGCACAGCTGGGAGCTAACTCTATGTGTACCTCTGATCGAACACTGACCAATATCCTGCAACAAAAAATAAATGCACAGGCTTACGCATCGAAGTAAAGCTCCAGCAATATTACACATAGATGCAAAAATCTGCAAGGATCATTGCTGTAGTCATTTCAGATCCTAGCGCCCAGTCTGAGATAGTAAAAGATCATCTCGTATTTTCTCTGTCCTGCCTCTTCAGACCATGTATACCTTAGGTCTGCAGGATGGAGCTATCCCCTGTCTGCATTTTCAGTGAGCATTATTTTAGTCACTCCTATGGAACGTAAATCTTACATTTGGAGTCAACTGTTGTTCAGGTTTTTCGTCTATCACATACTCTCTTTCTATGGTTTTATCATATATCCCATTAAGATTTCCAAGCAGCCTTTCTTTCTTCATACTGTGATCAAAACTCTTTCTTAAACATGGGTCTCCCATTGATCCTACAGGGAACTCTATACACCCAGCAAAATACTTCAGGAATCTGAAAGATTTCATCAGCACCTTTTCCCATGTACTACATACGTAAATAGTACCAGATGTCTCTGCAAACAAAAGGCCAGAATACTGCAGTGAAATTAACATGGTCAAATCTAATATTAAATGAAACAAAGATATAAATAACACTTGACAAACAATGCATTTTGAATCTGTTGTTCTTTTATATCTTGTCTCCATAAGAAAGAATGCCAGTATAAGAGGTAACATTTTATTATTAGTATCAGGACCTATGTAATCCTTACCTTTAGAGGAATACTTTTGTCAAAATCAGGAAAGTTAACAATCTTATTTATTTTTGACACGTACAAGATAAGTATAGTGGCTGCCATCTAAACAAAGAGAAGTCATGTTAGAGCAAAACTGTCATGTATGAATGAAAGAACTGCTTCAAAAACAAAATCTTTACATGCATTTGACAAATGCTAGGTATTACGTATTTCTGTCAAAGAACAATACAGAATGCAATTAATAAACTGGAATAACTTTATTCTTATGAATTTGGCCAGCTATTTATTTAGAAGTACAATATAGACATATGTTTTACCAGCTTGACAAAATTAGTGGCACCCTGTAAAACAATGCATGCTGAGAAGAAGCTGAGAAAATAAAACAGGACAGGATCCCAGAATAGTGATGCTATTTTCACTGAGTGTTAGTTAGCCTGAGGAATCACTCCTGCAGGTTTTTTTTGGTAATGTGAAGCAGGGGTTGTGCATTGATCAGTCTGTTGACAACATGAGGAAGAAACAATAAGGATATGGACACGATGAAGGAGAATATCTGAGCAATCACACATCATAACTTAATGCTTGCCTCATAGATGAAAAAAAATTTAACATTTTTCTTATTCAAAAATACAATAATTGACTATCTAGAGGATGGGGTGGAGTCATGCTCTGCAGACTAAAGCATTATACCATATGCTGTGCACTTTACAAAATGTTTAGGGATGTCCTGGAAGGATCAGACAACAAAAAATGGAAATACTACTGAGTCTTAAGTTCTGCAATGAAACAAAGCTGTATCATTGCCATTAACATGATTTATTGCCACATTTTATATTCTTCGGTTTCCACTGAGACATCATCTGAGTGGTTCCTTGAGCAGATTAGATGCGTGAGAGTGTATCTCATCCTCCTACACTGACAAGACTTTACAAAACATTTTACTCCTCTCAGCACCAAGCAGCAGAGATGTCAGACTTGCAGTACCTTGTTTTCACCTCTTCCTCTCTATCCCTTGGCTTGTAACCTTAGCAGAAAGTAAGTCCTCTGTTTTAAATATATTTGCCTAAACTACACTTGCTCCTAGGCTCCATCTATACCAGTTATACCTCTGCAGTCATACATTCTTCTTTGTGGACCATGTACACAAACATTTGAACTTTGATTTTACTATGATGCCCACTAACAACAAAAATAACACACACACCAAAAAAAAAAAACAAAAAAACAAAAAAACAAACCAAAACAAACAAAAAAACCAAAACAAAAAACCAAACCCAAATTAAAAAAACAAAACAAACCAAACAAAAAAAAAAAACAAAACAAAAAAAAAAACCCACAATTCCCCCCTCAAAAAAAAAAAAAAAAACCAAACAAAAAAACCCAACCAAACAAAAAACCCCAGAAACCACATATTTCTGCTACAGTACTGTAAATCGCCCACAGATAAGTAAGGCAACGAAGAACCAAAATTGTGTGGTAGTCCTACTGGAAAACTGCTGGGAAAGGGGAGAGAAATTTATGACGAAATACATGATTTGTCCTATAAATAGAGGCAACATCTCTGCATAAAATTCACAAATGCTCAAGGAGTCTCATAGGATCTATGCACTTACTAGAACAAACACTGACAGTTTTGACAGCCAGATCTCTTAATTACTGAACTTTACAAGAGGAAATAAATGGCATTTCTAGTCCTTTACATGACTCTTCCCGGGCAGTATTTTTGACTTGAGTCTAAGGTTCCTTGATCTCACTGAAACAAATCACTCTTCCTTACTAATCCACCTGAGCCAGAAGACAAGCAGTGCAGTATAAGTGAGATTTCCCTCTCCTTAAATATATCTCTAAGCTAACATTAGTTTAATTTACAAAATAATAAGTACATTTAGTATGCTTTACTTGTGAACATACCTGTCCAATTCCAAGAAACATTGGTGATGGGAAGCTGAAAAACATAAACAAATATTTAATTCTGAGAAAAATAAAAATTTAGCACCAAAGCCAACAACTGGACATGTGGATGTCTGGCCTGTCCTTCAGAAGAGTTCATGAACTGCTACCTTTATTGGAGTCCTAACATTTTACTTCTGCTGCAGCAAAACACAAGCTGCATCCAAATAATATAGTATATGCACAGTTGATAAATTCTAAATTACTGATTCTTTTGGGGATATTTGTAAGTGAAATTAACAACACACTTGGAGAACTCTAACAATATATTATTTTTTGAGCATTCTCACGTACACATTGTACATCCTGAGATGGTGTACTAAATGAAATCTCTTCCACTTGCCCTAACTTAGAAGCTTATGTCCACAGCCCAAACACACTAGCAGTATGTTTTTGTGAAAATAAAGGTATCTAGGTAAATGCTGTAGAAGCATTTATTGTTTCTTTCAGCAGCTAAATTCTTGCCATATCCTCTCAGTTGTCTTTATTGGAAAGCACGGACACTTGAATATTAAGGAAGCAGAAACTTTAGCTGGACACCTGGGAAGCCTGAGTGCCTCCGTTGTATCCCCTAAATCTACGTAAAGTTAAAACCAATCAATGCATGACAGTAACTGCTAACTCTCTGTATGCATACTGAAATACAAGCGAAGAAGTTATTTATTAATGGTGGCTGCTTTATGCCACAACCAGCACTAGCTGGAGCCTCTCTGCCCAAAAACACTGGGTATCGAGGAGCTCCCTGACCACAACAGCTCCTGCTGTGGTCAGCATTTTGCTGGACTGCACCGTCAGGAATGTTTGCACACAAACCTGAATCCAGGGAGGCTAAGTAAAACCCATTTCATTCTCTGTGCACGTCTGCACTAAGAAATGCCTGAGGAGGATCCACATTCTAGGCAAGTGTTGTGATTTTTCATTATTAAGGCTCCTTAAGCTTACGGCTATTTATCACAGAAGGCGCCAGGAACTGTGATACTACTGCCTGGTGTGCTGAGAAATGTAAATCTCAAATGAGCACCACTGGGACAGGAACATAGTGTCAGCAAAAGGAAGAAATGCTCTGAAGCGCAGCAGAAAGGCCACAGTGAACCTGGAGTCATAACAGAGGTAAAGACTCAGGAGTGGCCAGTATAGCAAAATTGATTACAGGAAACAGGTATTAGGGAGAAGGAAAAAAAAAAAACAAAAAAAACAACCAAACAAACAACCCCCCCCACACACAAAAAAAAAACCAAACCAAACCAAAACAAAAAACCAAAAAAACGAGCAGAAGAAACTGGACTTCCATTTATACTCATGTGACCCCTAAACTGGTTTGTACATAAGCTACACCACATAAATACGGAGACTTCTGTACTATGCAGATTTCTCCAGGCATTTTTCATTTGCAGAGCCCTAAACATTCCCAGCAATGCTGTAAGCTCTATATACATAACTTGGGCTTACTGATGGGCATGCTGTCCTCAATTATCTTTCATGGATGTGCTAGACATACTTCAGGGACTTAGAGGGAGCTGCAGATTGTATGATGAAAACCGCTGTAAAACAAAATCTCAACTTGCCTTGCATCATTTCCGGGACGTGTTAAATACACCTGTTCTGTGTCCAAGTAGCACTGAATGTTAGAAAATAACTGCAAGTTCTGCTTTTAAACTTTTTTCGCTTTAAAAATCTTTCATGCTTTGTTTTGTTTTGTTTTTCCCCTAGTTCAGAATGAGTTAAAACACAGCAAAACCAGACCAAACTTTTAAAGCAAAGAGCATTAATGGTGAAAAGCTCACAGGTACAGGATAGCTTTGGTGTTTTTACGATGAGATTTCCTACGGTTCACTTTTCACGTTTTGCTACTTCAGAAAAGAAAGGTAACCATATTGCTCGGCAGGAATAGCTGGGGGAAACAGTGTTTCCCTGAAGGGCCTAAGGTGATACAACAGGTGAAACGCCTCGACGCTGGGAATAACGAAAGGCCTTCGAGAAAAACACTAGCCTGCTTCAAAAGTAAAAAAAAAGGACTTTGCCGCCGGGAGGTGTTGCCGAAGCGACACATAGTGGACATAAACGTGGCCTGGAACTGGAGCCACCGACCCGGCTCTCGGCATTTACCATGACAGCTCCTGTGCCGGTGGACCAGCTGACTGCCTCGGCCAGGGCCGCACGGACAGACCTAGCTGATGCGAACGGCAGTGGGAACGCTCCCCGGCAGGCGGGGCGGC